TGGAGAATTGGGACACTTGGAGAACATGCAGTTCTTCAAGATTAGCGTTCATTCTTGTTGCATTTTAGAATGGTATCATTATGAAATTTCAAACAGTAAGCAGTTTGATGCATTCCATTATAAAGGTAAAGGTACCCCTGCCCGTACGGGCCAGTCTTGACAGACTCTAGGGTTGTGCGCTCATCTCACTCTATAGGCCGGGAGCCAGCGCTGTCCACAGACACTTCCGGGTCACGTGGCCAGCGTGTCAAGCTGCATCTGGCGAGCCAGCGCAGCACACGGAAACGCCATTTACCTTCCCGCTAGTATGCGGTCCCTATTTATCTACTTGCACCCGGGGGTGCTTTCGAACTGCTAGGTTGGCAAGCACTGGGACCGAGCAACGGGAGCGCACCCCGCCGCGGGGATTCGAACCACCGACCTTTCGATCGGCAAGTCCTAGGCGCTGAGGCTTTAACCCACAGCGCCACCTGCGTCCCGCCTTCCATTATAGATAAGCCAATAAAATGTTATTTAGTAAGCCATGAACCCAGTTTCAATCCTGCTTGCGCTTCCTTACAGGTCGGAGAGCATGTTTAGGTGAGAATCTTGCCAAAGTGGAGCTCTTCCTCTTCTTCACAAGCCTTCTGCAGAGATTCACATTCCAGCTACCTCCTGGAACATCTGATGATGACCTGGATCTTACCCCTGCTGTTGGGTTCACAACACCTCCCATGCCCCACCAACTCTGTGCTCTGCCACGTTCATAAGATGCAAAGTTCATGGGTTGCATATCCTCCCTGTGTGTGCAAGGCAAGCCTTTTTTAAAACACCCTTATTAACCATGGACATTTTGGTTCAGTAGACTTCCAGTCGGATTGGCCCATGATGTGTCACAAAACTTAAGTGTTGCACACTATGTTCTGCTTAATGTTTGTAGGAAATACGATTCCGTGTTAATTGTAGTGCTTTAGTTCAGCCTAGGAATTAAATTTTGAAATTTACTTGATTCTGTTCAGAAAAAAATTACCTACTAACATTGAAATCTATATATTTTGTGTCAAGCCACTTCATTCCCTGTGTATTTTACTGCTTCATCATGTGGTTCTAAGTGAAGGGCACTTTTAAAAACAAAGATTTAAGCGATAGATGGTCAAAAAGGAGTAGTCAAATGCAGGTGCTTCTCCTCACTCTGATGAAGAGGCTCAGATTTTAACTGAGGGCCGCAGAAATAGCAAGTCTACAGGACCCCTGACAGTTAAGTCCAATGATAAATTCCACTGGTTTTTTAAAATTTGCATCAGGAATCTGATTAAGAACATTGTCCCCAGATTTATCTATATTATATATCCTATATCCTATATTCTATATTCTATGCATCTATATCCGGATCATATTTCCAAAAGATAAACTCCCTGTTTAGGAAATGTCTTTGGGTCTTTGGATGATTTTACATAAATACAAAGCACCTTTGGTAGGTTGGGCAGCATTAGGATCAAGATATTTGAAAGTTCAAACAACTCTTGAAACAGTTAAGTCTGTTAGAAAGATATGGAATATATTAGCCAATAAAAATAAATTTCATTCACTTTCAGATGCAAAAGTTACTCTGTGGAGAAATTCTATTTTAAAAATTGGGGGCGGGGGGTATTATGGAAAAACTGAATGGGAGAAAGCACTGTTTAGCTTTCTTTGAATAAAGAGTGAACTTCCCCGGCACTGGTGGTTTTTTTGTTGCTGACCTACTCCTGCCTCCAGCTCCTGCCAGCTTATGAGGACTGAAGGTCTCCACCTTCCCACTGCCCTCTAAGGCCCCTCCCCCAGCAGCCTACAGCTCCATCACCTTGCATCTCATGACTTTGCCGTCTTCATTTCTCTCCATGTTCTGGGTGACCAGGGAGAAGGGAGCTGGTCGCAGCAGGAGGGGGAGACTCCCCGGATGAGGCAGGCTGTGTCATCTCTGTCTCCTGGCCCCCTTCCTCTCCTGTCTGAACTGCTCTCTGCCCCAGCTTCTTCCCGCTCACGAAACCCTGTTATCTCTTCAGCTTCCAACACCTCCTCCTCCCAGTCAGCTCCCTCTTCTCCCACTGACCACTCATCCCACCACCAGTGCCCTGGCTCTCAGCCTTCTCCCTCTGGGGGTTTCCCAGCTGCTGCCTCCCATAACAGCCAGTCCATGATACCTACCCACTTTTTATTTATTTACAGCCAAGTGGTGTGTAAATGTTATGAAATAAATAAATAGGGCTCGGGTCCATCTTGCAGTCTCTTGTCATATCTTTCCCGACATTGTGATGTTGTGCGCTCATGATGTCACATCTTGGGCGCAAGTTGGTGCCTCTGCTTTGGGCATAGAGATCAACCAACAAAACTGGTTTCTTGTATTCACATGTTAACAAATGCCTTCAAATTGTCACGATTCCTCACGGTGCTTTAGCAGAATGCTCAGAGTCCCAGGTTCTTCAGTGCAGTATTATTTATTGTGAGCTAAATATATACAAATATCTACAGAAGCAGTGCATACATTCAGACAGAGTACCTGGCTGCACCTTAAAGCAAATACGAAGACTCTTTCTCTCTGACTACACTCCTCTACACCACCACCATGACCTCTGGACATGTTTATTTTTAAACCGATGACAGCACATTACTGCTTAGTCATTCTGACCCAGTAACTCTATAGAAAGTATTGCATCAGCCTGTTGCATCAACTAGCAAACTCAAGCCTGCAGACTTCCTTTCACAGCATTCTGTGAATCCCGACAAAATATCTTGAAGCATCATATTCCCAGTTAAATGCACAAATATGAGCTAGTGATAATGGTTTCACTTGGGAAATACAACAACTGTAGAAGCTGCAGAGACCTAAAAATAGTTTTTTATACAAGCAAATTATCTGTGAAGCCCCCTCATGTGGAGAGAGTGGGCTCTTCAAATCTAGGGTTTGCACCCCCCTACCAATTCCTGTCAGTGAGGAATCCAGGTCTGCCCACATCTGAAACAGTCCCTTCAAGTGTAGCATGTTGTTCTTTGCCTTAAAGGGCAGATACAAACATTTACTCTAATATGAGGAAGTAGCAAGTATTGCAAATATTCACATGTTACATTCAACAAATGTTCAAACTGTGTACGCAAGTAGCTAAGTTGTACACTCATACAATTATTCACAGTTATTCACTTTAAGAAGGCTGATTTCAAATAGCTGAAGGAACTACTGTGTGAGAGCCTATGGTCAGAAAGACTCAATAAGATGGTCCAAATTTCTACTGAAGTATCCTCACTAGACTCTTAACAAATATATTCCTCCATGGGCCCACTAGAATTTCAGGGGTACCTCGGGTTACAAATGCTTCGAGTTACGTTTTGTCGGGTTACAAATAATTTTAACCCAGACGTGAATTTTCTGAGCTCTCGGAGGCCTCACCGCTGCCAAGTCCCAACATCCGTGGGGCCTACGGATGCACCACGAGGCCTCCGTGAATGCCGGGAGCCAAGCCAATTGTGATTGTGGAAGAGGACCCTGAGCCCCCATCCCAACAATGACTCATCAGCGCAGGTAAGGAAAAAAACCACATTTTCATTTTGTACTGTTTTGTTGATTTCATTTGATGGATCAATGGCTTCGTTAGATAGTAAAATGTATGCAAAATTGCTGTTTTGGGGTCGCTTTTCATCGTCTGGTTCCTGTTGAGTGTGTTTCGTTTGTTAATTGAGTCCCTCAATGCTAATCAGAGGCTTCCTGTTGAGTCTGCCAGCTGTTGAGTCCTGAGCACCCACACAACACAGAAGTTATAGTTGGAAGTTTTGTTTTTGCTTTTTTTTGCGTTTTGGTTGTCTGGCTTTTTCAATTTTTTGACGTGACTTGTAGTTCATTTTATGGGACTGACTTGTGACTTCGCTTTTGTGACAGTGGCTTGTGATTTCGTATTTGTGACTGGTTTTTGTGACTGTGTGGAACCCAGTTCAGCTACTGGTTGATTGTGTGACTGCAGAAATGGATAAAAGCCCCCCATCCAAACTGACTATCATCAGTTAATTTTTTTCATCTAAACTGCTGTCTTATTTATTTTATAATGCAGTACAATGATTATTGCCTTCATTGTCTCGTTAGACAGTAAAATTCGTGTTAAATTGCTGTTTTAGGGGGTGTTTTTCATCGTCTGGAACGTATCAATCCACTTTCCATTACTTTCAATGGGAAAGTGCGCTTCAGGTTAAGAACGGACTTCCAGAACCAATTAAGTACTTAACCTGAGGTACTACTGTACCTGCTCTGATACCGTGGTAACCGCCTGTCAACACCTGAGCCTCCTGCCACCAGATGCAGAACAGCATGTGCTTAAAATGGCTGTAATCTGTCCGGGGACCTTATGGATCAAGAGCAACTATAAATAAAAGACATCATCATCAGCTAAACCACAATGTTGCACAAGCCAAGAGGAAGTATATCACACAAGTTTGTCTATGGAGCAAATAGTTCCAGAGATGACTGACAGAAGAGAGCCATGCTGCATAGTGCAGAAAATTGCACACACACACACACACACACCCCAAAATATTTGTGCAGTATTTCCCCAAGAACATCTCCCTATGTTGCTGGCACCGGTATAATAATTAACTAAAGTAGCTACACACACATGCCGAATAGCAGAATATTTGTAAAAAAAGAGTTCAGCAGGTTCTGAAACTATCTCAAAAATTTCTCACTAGTTCAATAATTACACAAGAGGATTTCTTAACAGTTGTTTGGGTTCCTTCCAACTCTACAGCTCTGTGATTCTATAATGTTGTTTTAAGCCTGAACATTGGACTTCCCGAGAATTCAAAAGAGGTTGAACGCGCTAGACGATGTTTTCATTTCAGGAAGAAAACACCGTCGCTCAAGTAAGTATAAAGGGAATGCTGACTCATCAAGCGTAGCTTGCAATAAAATGTGGGGGAAAGTTCATTCCATTGAATGAAATAATTCATTAGAGACAGTGCCTAGTATATTTGCTGCTCATTTCAGCCAGCGGACATTGTCCTTGATCAAACGATGTTGTGACTTTTACAGTAATTGCTTCAGAAATTTGCTCACTGAAAAGAAATGGATTTGACTGAACAGATTCCAGCATTATTCTTGCTCATTCTTACGATTATATTCATTTGGAAATGGGGCAGTTTCTGGAATAGGAGCTCCAAAAATCTCCCACCAGGTCCGACACCTTTACCACTTGTTGGGAATCTCCACATGATGGATCTGAAGAGACCTTACAGAACAATGTTAAAGGTAACGTTTTCTGTTCTTTCTGCAACAAGGCAAAGATTCTGTGGATGTTTTTAGGCCAGGTAGATGTCAGTGTTCCATCTCATAAATGCATATATGCAAAAATAATAAAACTATGTCAAGTATGGCTTATTCGTTTTTTTCTTCCTTTTTGTGTGTGATTGCTGTTATGGTTTAGGCTGATAGCTGATCTGTGCAGTGGAGGGACTGGGTGACTGGAGGAGGGGAATAGGAATGTCACAACCACCCTGGGATATGGGTGACGCTGTGGTCTAAACCACAGAGCCTAGGGCTTGCCGATTAGAAGATCAGCAGTTCAAATCCCCGTGACAGGGTGAGCTCCCGTTGCTCGGTCCCTGCTCCTGCCAACCTGGCAGTTCAAAAGCACATTAAAGTGCACGTACATAAATAGGTAACGCTCCGCAGGGACGGTAAACGGCATTTCCATGCGCTGCTCTGGTTCGCCAGAAGCGGCTTAGTCATGCTGGCCACATGACCCGGAAAACTGTCTGCAGACAAAAGCTGGCTCCCTCGGCCTGAAAGCACGATGAGCACAGCAACCCCAGAGTCGTCCATAACTGGACTTAACAGTCAGGGGTCCCTTTACCTTTACCTGAACCAGCCTTATCCACAAAAATTAGCTGCAAAATTGTCGAACTTTTCAGTGTGAAACCAGCACTTCTAAATACATCATTTTAGAATCCACTCAAATTTTCACAATTATCTTACATGAAGCAAAATAAAGCAATTATATTGCTGAATGTGGGCTTTTAAGTGCGCCCATGTCTGAAATCATGTTCTTATTGAGAATGCTATTCTGCACTGGAAGCAATCGCTATTAAAAAAAACAACAACATCAAAGAGAACTGGATAACGTATAACACAAAATTAAGGGAAGAGGTAGGTCAACTACCGTATTTTTCACTCCATAGGACGCACCTGACCAAAAGACGCACCATGTTTTTAGAGCAGGAAAACAAGAAGAAGAAAAATCTGACTCAAATGTTGTACTAAACTATTTCAAACAGCAAACTGGGTGTCTCCTGTCCACTTTGCTGCTTTAAAGCGAGCCACAGTATACAATGAAGAGAATGGAAAAAGGACAGACGTGGTGGTAGTATGGTTGCATTGTTTTTTTGTAACATAAAATCATTCAATAAAAATTATTTTTTTGAAAAAGAGAATGTTCATCTCTTTGCAACACCCACAATTCCCATGATTCTTTGGGCAGGTGTAAAAAATTTTATTAGATTAAATCTAGGTCTCCAGGGTAATTTTAGCTAAAGGCAATATTGGAAAGCACTGGTGCTCCTCGGGTGAAACTGAGGAGCCTAATTCTGAGCAGCCAAAACTAATAGCTCAGTTGATCAAGCAGCGGACTCTTAATCACAGGGTCGTGGGTTCAATGCCACGTTGGGCAAAACGATTCTTACATTTCAGGGGGTTGGACTAGATGAGTCTTGTGGTCCCTTCCAGTTCTACAATTCTATGATTCTAACTTTCAATTTGTTAAGGAAGGAAAATTCACATCGGTTTTCAACATTATTTGCTCACAATTATCTCCAGATAAAATAAAAGACCTGCAGAATTTGCCATCCTACTGCACTTTCTTCTTAATAATTTGAGGTTACTCCTCTTGCTAAAGGCACCCACGTGCTGAACAGTGCTTAGACATTAAAAGTTGATGAATTATACCATGCAACTATGGAAATGAAATCAGTTTTTATTTCAGATCTGTGACAGTATGTATCTATGTATGTTTAGGAGGATTCATTTGATGTTTCTCTCATTTGGCCATTGAACTCCAGTTGTCAAAAGAACATGGCCCCATCTTCCGCATCCAAATGGGATTCCAGAAAATGGTGGTGCTGACAGGGTATGAGACAGTCAAGGAGGCTCTGGTGAATCAGGCGGACGCATTTGCAGAGAGACCCCTCATCCCAATTTTTGAGGACCATGCAAGAGGCTTTGGTGAGGTCTTTCCTTCTGTATAATAGCTTGTGCTGTTTGTGAAATTTAGTTATCATAGCAATATAGAATCTGTGCCAAAAGTTTCATAGAACTGATTGTTAGTTTCAATTACAGCTTGGAGGACAGCCTGCCAATCGACCAGTGTAGCTGCAGCCATTGGATGGATAATGCCAAATGTCTTTGTCACTGCCAGCAAAAGAGTAGTGTTGAGGGAATAGGAGAATCTGGTCATAAGATAATGTACCATTACATCTGAAGGGCCGTAAACTCCCTGTGCAATTGTGTTCTGAGGGTACAACCCATAGGGATGTTGCTGTTCTGGAGAGTGTGTGTCCTATCAGAGGCCAGATGAGGGACCAGCTGAGAGGCATCCTCAGTTCCACAGAAGAAGGGTGAGATAAGCCCAAACATATTATCGTGGCCATGATAACTTGAAACTTGATCTCTGCTCTTCAGGTGTTGTTTTTTCACATGGTGAAAACTGGAAAGCGATGCGGCGGTTTTCACTAAGCACATTACGGGACTATGGCATGGGGAAAAGGTCCATAGAGGACAGAATTGTGGAAGAATGCAGTGTCCTGATTAAGACATTTGAATCTTACCAAGGTGGGTTAGTGTTTCCCTCTACTGCTCCAGGGCAAAACAACACTACATTAGATGCCCAGAATAATGTGTTATATACATATTGCTAACTCTCAGAACTATAGTAACCAGGATTCCCTGTGAAGAAGTAACCAATCTGCAGTGTTCAGGTCAGTGTGAGGTAATGCTGGCCTCTGTCCCTCTTTCCTGTCCTCCCTCCTACGATCCCCTCTCGCATCTCTGCCTCCCAAGGGCTTGCACAGCTGTTTGTTGCAGCAGCCCTGGCTTCAAGCTCCCAAGGAGAGGCGACAGGAGAGATGGCTGAGGGAACACTTCATGAGGGATGGTGTTTGAAAACGGGTGAGAGGCCACTGGCTCTGCAGGCAAGGGGTGACATACCGATAACTGGCTCCTGAGGCTTGGAGTGCATTTGCCCCCCAGGAAAACACAGAAAGAATGTAGCTGGTCAAGGGAGTCATGGTCTCAAAAAGGATGAAGACCTCTGCTTAGGTATATACCGCCCATAACTCTTTTTAGAGTTGCTTAACTCAGATATCTTCAAGTACACCAGAATTTAGGATCAGTTTCTAAAATAAATGTGCTCTATACATGGGTAGGAACCTAACACAGAGAAGAGCTATTCTAATTGGTATTTTATCTGAACATCGTTTAATATTTATGTATAGGACAACCATTTGAAACCACCACAATTATGAATGCCGCTGTTGCCAATATCATAGTGTCCATCCTACTAAACAAGCGATTTGAATATGAAGACTCCACATTTAGAAAACTTCTGAAGTTGGTCAATGAAAATCTCCAGCTTTTGGGAAGCCCCTCTGTCATGGTAATCTAAGCTTTTTCAAATGGAAAAGAAATAGTTGGTTGTATTCACAGAATACTCAATGTGTGTGCAATTCCATATTGTTCAGGCTTCACTGCAAAACACATCTTGAGAAATATGAGTTGCGTAAGATCCCAGGGCAGCATTTCCTTCCAAAGGTCCTCACTCAGTTGTCTTTGTGCAGTTTTTAGGAGGGGAGAGGTATTGCATATTTGCAAGGGAAAGTATTAGTAGAAAGGTTTTGCAATCTTCAGGTATTAAGGAAAGCAGAGAAATTAATACACACCTTCCAAAGTAAAGATATATTGGCCAAATAATACAAATAATTATTCGGTTTAGATCAATCATGCTTCAGTTTTGAGCAGAAGTGACAAAGAGACATTAATTCTCCAGTTACTAAAGATGAATGGAAGTGGTTATAATTTTCAAAAAGACAATTGTTGGAAATTCAAAAATATAGGAGCAGCTATTTTACACATATTTTGGACTTGTTGTAAGATTAAAAGCTTTTGGTTGTAAATTAAATTCTTGGTACCAATATAATTTTAATACCCAAATACATTTGATTTGGAAAGGCATAGCAATCAAGGGAGATTTTGGACATTGCAACTGTTATAACCACTACAGCAAGACTAGTCAAAGCTAAATATATGTATAAATGTGTATATGTATAAAACACATGGGATGCAGCATTGTTAACACAACTTAAAAGTTTTAAAAGAGATATGGAAAGAAGGACCCTAAATAAATTTATTTTAAAAAAGCAAATATAAAATTTCAAGACAATATTCACCCCAATTATTATTTTCATTCATATAATTGGATCTTCTGCTTAAAATATAATAGTTAGATAACTCAAACCATAACTGACGATTTGTATATTGTATGCATGATCTTATGAAATTATATATAGTTGAAATATTTTCTTTCTTTTGTAATTTCATCTTTTAAAAAAAATAAAGGTTTTTTTTTTAATATACACGACCCCATATCTATCCGTTGGGGACTCCACTTCTACATCCTTCTATTGGGAGAATGTCTGTCTATTCCTATGCCCCACTTCCTGGTCCACCAGAGAACCTCTCCTTATTCCAACGCCTGCTTTTCTTACCCAGGAGTCTTTATTGTGCAAGCTTCTTTGAAAGTCTAAGTCAGGTGTGGGGAACCTTTGGACCTCCAGCAAAAGCTAAAAATGCCCCACTGCCAGCCCAAGACTGATGCTTACATGAGCTGAGGTGAAGCAATTTGCCTCAGGTGGCAGATCCAACCACTTCCCTGTGCCTGCTGTTGCACCACTGCCAGCCATGTCTCAGTTTTGCCCATGCCACCATAGCTGCTGCCACAGTGCCCTGTATTGTGGCAGCACTGTGAGTGACACCATGGGTCTGTGGGGGGACAGTGCCAGGGGGGAATTTTGCTGCCCTTGGCCACTTCTGGTTGACATCTGTCTAGGGGCTTGTCCACATCTGAGCAAACTGCTAATCCACAAATACAAGGGGGCTCCATAACTACAACAGCACATAAGAAAATGGCCTCTAGCCTTGGCCTCTAAGGGATATTTACTCAACGTTGCTCCAACCCAAATACATTATTCTTCTGTGTCATTGTTTATTCCTCTGTGGAAGATGAGATATTTGGAGTATCACCTGAGAATTAAGCACTAGGCTTTACTCTTTGTTTTATTTTATCCTTACAGCTGTATAACGTATTTCCTGCTCTTGGCTCGCTTTTGGGAACCCGTAAGACTATCCTTCAGAACAGAGATGAGATGCATGCCTTCATAAATGCCACCTTCATACAACACCTCAGAGATCTGGATAAAAATGACCAAAGGAGCTTGATTGATTCATTTCTTCTGAGACAGCAAGAGGTAATGGAGTCTTTTAAGCCCGCCAATAATTTTTTTTGATATTTTCAAATGTTAATAATAATATAAAGCTTTGGATAATATCTGGAGTCTGTGACCTGACTGCTTGCAGGGCTGTTTTCCACTAGGACTCCCACTCCTCTCAAAAGAAAAAGAAAAAAACCATCTTTGAGATACAGTAGCTCAGTTGGTTGGAACACGTTGCTGCGTACGCCAAAGTTGCAGATTCGATCCCTGTAAGGGACAGCTGCAGTCCTACACCGCAGATGTTTGGAACAGATGATCCTCAGGGTCTTTCCAACTCTATGATTCCATGATTCCATGACTAGTCCAACACATCATGCTCCCCCCCCCCCCCAGTATTTCTCTTGCACCATGCTCCTTTCTTCTGCCTGTGACATGCTTTCATGGAGAAAAGAGATTTGAGTGTGCTGGCTGTGTACGATTTTTCTGCTTTCCTAGACAGCTTCTCTGCTCTTTCCATTCCAGTGAGTGCCCTCCCAGCCCCTGTCTAGCTACTTTGATATCTGCACATGGAATTTCTTTTCTTTCTTTTTTCTTTTTTTTACACCCCAGGAGAAGGATAAGCCGAATGGATATTTCCACAATGAAAACTTAAGATCCCTTGTGAGTAACTTATTTTCTGCTGGCATGGAGACCACTTCTACCACACTGCGCTGGGGACTGTTACTAATGATGAAATATCCTGAAATTCAGAGTGAGTGCTTTTCATTGGGTTGGCTCCCATTACACTAGCTAGCATATCTTGATTCTAGTTATACATAACTAGAGTGATACCTCTGGTTACGTACTCAATTCTTTCCGGAGGTCCATTCTTAACCTGAAACTGTTCTTAACCTGAAGCACCGCTTTAGCTAATGGGGCCTCCCACTGCCACCGCGCCGCTGGAGCGCAATTTCTGTTCTCAACCTGAAGCAAAGTTCTTAACCCGAGGTACTATTTCTGGGTTAGTGGAGTCTGTAACCTGAAGCGATGTAACCTGAAGCGTCTGTAACCCGAGGTACCACTGTATCTGGGGGCCTGGGAAGCTGGGGGGCTGAGCCCCACAATATTCAATGAGGGGGGTGGCCCTCAATATTCCACAACGAGGTGGGCCTTGTTGGGCCTAGTTTCACTGTGTGACATCCCACATGTCAGCCCTCCCAAATGTTGGGTGTAATCAAGCATGCAGGTTTCTGACTTTCACTTCCTGCATAACTATAAGCAAATTGTGTATTTCCACAAAAATTCTCAGGTGAATAGCGTCTTCCACAATTTTGCATTATGTTGTTAGATTGTGCTCATAGATTAGGCAGTCCCATTGCATAATTAGCTGTCAGTTACTCCAGGAAATCTGAAGATATGAGTTGGTGGCAAACATATTGTCAAGGGTTCAGGGACAGAGGCACAGAGGCACAGGTGAGGGAGGAGACGGAGAGCGATGGGGAAGAATCCCAAGACAGTGAGGAAGAGGATGACAATGACTCGAGGGATTCCATGAGTCTTTCAAGTGAATCAGAGGATTCCCAGAAGGGGGCGCCAGTGGTCAGGCCAAGGGGAGTCACAGGGGGGACTCGTCAGGAGCAGGGGGCCAGCAGAGGATCCCAAAGTGGGAGCTGGGAGTCAGGACCGGCTTCCCCGCCAGAGCGCAGTGAAAGGGGTGGAGATTCCAGTGTGACAGGGGAAGCAGCTCCGTCAGCAGAGAAAGGGGGAAGGTCGGAGCAAGACAACCTCCCGGAAGGGGAGGGGAGTAGTGCAGGGAGTAGTGTAACTGTCAAGAGGAAGGTTAGAGGTTGCGAACGCGCGCCAAGTTCAAATGTGGAGGCGCGCGGAAGAACAGGGAGTCCGGAGGAGGAGCCAGGTCCCAAAGCCCGCAGGAGGGGGCAAGAGCTGTCTGGGGATTCCGCGTCAGAGGAATCCAGGAGGGGCGAAACCCCAGGGGGCAGAAAGACCCTGCGGAAAAGGAAGGAGAGGAAAAGGTGGAGCAGCTCAAGCTTATTAAATTGGTGTAGGGGAGGGACTGACTCAGAGGGGACTTCAGCGGTCTAAGGGTAACAGACGTGGGGCTGCGCGCCTCGGATGTGAAGCAAGGAATGGATTCCAATAAACACCTTTGTATATAAGAAGAACTTGGCGTTGGTCTTTTGTGAGCTGAGACCTGAGGCAGCCCTGACACATATGCTTTTGAGTTTGGCATTTGGGGGGTGGGGACAAAAAAAAACCACCAATGAGTTTATTTTAACAACAAAAACCACACTCCACTGCCCCCAGATAAGGTCCAAGAAGAAATTGTGAAGGTTGTTGGATCTTCTCAACCAAGGATTGAGCACCGAACGAAAATGCCATATGTAGATGCAGTGATCCATGAGATCCAGAGATTTTCTGACATTGTCCCCACAAATATTCCACATGCAACCACTGTGGATGTTACCCTAAAAGGCTACTTCATTCCAAAGGTAATCACTTTGATTAAACTGCATTCTTTGCTCAGCTGACTGCAATCATTTCTTCTTTAATTAGGACATTACACTTTAGGCTAAGAAGAAGAAGAGTTTGGCTTTGATATCCCGCTTTATCACTACCCTAAGGAGTCTCGAAGCGGCTAACATTCTCCTTTCCCTTCCTCCCCCACAACAAAAACTCTGTGAGGTGAGTGAGGCTGAGAGATTTCAGAGAAGTGTGACTAGCCCAAGATTACGAGTCCACCAGATTACAAGTCTACCGCTCTGAACCACTAGGAGCAGGCCCCACTGACCTCCTTGTAAAGTAGGGGGCCCTTGCCTCCCTGGGGCCCCTGTTGGAGCCCCAGTTCCCTAGTCTGGGCCAACTTGCTTCTGCCTTCCTCGCTGCATACAGGTCTTTATTGAGTCATCCCAGAAAAGTTGGGCAAGGGGCTCAGTCAACTATTCTCTCAGTCCAATGATGACTGTTTAAGGAGCTAATGGTATATAATCTCTGCTTTATATTCCGGATCATTTCTTGCTTTTAAAAAAAAGACATTAAGGACTATACCATAATGATTTGCTTGACAGGCCATATCCATTTTTTAAATAACTCTTGCTTTTCCTTTGCAGGGGACTCAAATCATGCCACTACTGACCTCCGTGCTGCATGATGAATCTCAGTGGGAAAAACCATACCAATTTTATCCTGAGCACTTTCTTGACTCTGAAGGAAAGTTCATAAAGAGAGAGGCATTCATGCCTTTCTCTGCAGGTAACTTATTTTGCGTCTATTTATACATATCCAATGTGAACTTAATGAATAGGCCATCCTAAGTATATTAACATAAAATAAAACTTGGATGGAAGACACAATCCCAAACTGTCATTTAGAACTGCAATAAGATACCCAACATCATTCATTTTCAGTAGGGCAGCTTCTGGGCCAGTGGCCAAATGGGACTCTTCAAGGCTCTCTAACCACCCTCAGAACTTCCCCCAGGCCTTGGCTTTCAGTGGACCTGCTCTATGTTCCCCTTGTGGGCTTTTGCCTGGCCGGAATGTGCCATTGATCTATGATAATGCCACCTGCTTGCTGTTGTGGAGAATGGATACAGGATGTTTGGAGGATTAGGGTACAGAAAACTCTCAGACCGTGGGCTGAAAAACATTCTCTCACTTTGGTTTTCAGCCCTGTAGAATGCTTCTTGCTGGGAGTTCATCTTTTGCATACTTGCCAACATTCCTCAGATGAAAATCAGGACATTTTCCATACTCATCCAACTCATCCTCCTCGAAAGATCATTTGTGGTCCCCTGCCCCCTGTCAGAAGAAGTCGAGTGCTGCCATTTCTAAACCAACAGGACTCACGACTTGCACCCTCAACTGTCCTGAGAAAACCTCTTAGCCCCAATCTGATTTTATTCTTTTGGTAGATTTAGAAAAGGAAAAACACACACCGATAAATACATTTTAGAAAGAGGCAAGATTAGACATGGCTGCACCAAGCATATTTCAATAAATCCAGACTCCTTGTGTTCCGTTTTGCTCCCCCTTTCTCCCCACCCAGGGCTGCTCTGCCCTCTGCCTCCCCCTCAGAGCCACTGCTAGGCCTCAACAGCCAAATCCTCTCCTCCAACAGCCGCTATGGAGGGGCAAGCGCTGGCTCATCCTTCTCCCCAAGCTCAGCAGCAGAGCATGCATTGTGGGACTGTCACTGGAGAATTGGGAGACTTGGAGAACATGCACTTCTTCAAGATTAGTGTTCATTCTTGTTGCATTTTAGAATGGTATCATTATGAAATTTCAAACAGTAAGCAGTTTGATGCATTCCATTATAGATAAACCAATAAAATGTTATTTAGTAAGCCATGAACCCAGTTTCAATCCTGCTTGCGCTTCCTTACAGGTCGGAGAGCATGTTTAGGTGAGAATCTTGCCAAAGTGGAGCTCTTCCTCTTCTTTACAAGCCTTCTGCAGAGATTCACATTCCAGCTACCTCCTGGAACGTCTGAAGATGACCTGGATTTTACCCCTGCTGTTGGGTTCACAACACCTCCCATGCCCCACCAACTCTGTGCTCTGCCACGTTCATAAGACGCAAAGTTCATGGGTTGCTTATCCTCCCTGTGTGTGCAAGGCAAGCCTTTTTTAAAACACCCTTATTAACCATGGACATTTTGGTTCAGTAGACTTCCAGTCGGATTGGCCCATGATGTGTCACAAAACTGAAGTGTTGCACACTATGTTCTGCTTAATGTTTGTAGGAAATACAATTCTATGTTAATTCTATTGCTTTAGTTCAGCCTAGGAATTAAATTTTGAAATTTACTTAATTCTGCTCAGAAAAAAAAATTCCTACTATAATCTATATACCGGTAATATATATAATCTACATATAATTGAGAGGGGCCGCTAGGGGTGCCTTGGAAGATGGCGGATATTAACATCTATCCAGCCCGCACGAGGTAATTAGAGGCTGATTATGGAGAGTAAATCAGTCTCCCTTCATCTCTCCAGGGGGGAGAAATGCAGTTTTCACCCGCTGTTGCCATAAATCACCCCCGAGTTCGGAAGAAGGAGGGGGTGAGGCACAGGGTTCACAACCCTCGGCGGGCCTTGGAACTCCTCCGAAGCTGCTTCCAGGTGCGAAACTAGTTGCGTTACTTAAAAGGAAAAAAATTGGTGAAAGATAACACACATGCTTCAAAAGAGGCAGGAGGTTTTTATCTGCTAACAATTTTACCACTGAAATGAAGAAGACTGAGATGGAAGATTACATCAAAGTACTACAAACATGGTATGTGGAATGGAATGCAACGGAACTGAAAGGGGGGGGACGACTTTTTTTTTTTTTGCTCTATGTGATTAACTAATAACCCTCCCTCTTAGAAGATCCGTCACAGCAACTAATTGCAAATGGGACTAAAAATGAATTGTGTGGGAATAATATGAACTTAAAGGTTTTACTCTGTGAAGGATTTGGAAAGAAGAAGGGCTCTCTTTGTGACGCAGTTAGAATGGAGATGTGATACGAGACCTGTGTTGCAGGAGGTTTGGTCTTGGGGAGGGCGAGCTGAAGATTTATTATTTTTGAGGAGATTGCGATCTGGAAGGGGCAGCCCTCCTGGAAAAAGACTAATTTACGATGCAACAGGTCGGGAAAGTTAAAGAGAAAGCTTTTAGACTGTATTTCATCGGAACGACAAAATGGCAATTGCTTGCTTGAGCGGAAATGTCTGGACTATTAGATGAGAGTGATTCATGAGAGAGTAGTACAAAGCCCACACAGAAACCCAAATAAGACTGTTTTTTTCAACCCACTTGCGGAGCAACTCGGAGGTGAATGAAAAGGAAAATGAGTAATGACAAGGATTGAGAAGAGGGGACTGGAAATATCATTCTTAAGATGAAAGCAGCACAAATATTCGAGGATTGGACTCCTGCCGATCGTTTCCTGCTTGGCAGGGGGTTGGACTCGATGGCCCTTGTGGTCTCTTCCAACTCTATAATTCTATGATTCTATTCTAAGAAGCATGGGTACCCCCCACAAAAATTTATAATTTGGAAAACAATTGGATTACATGATAATGTATTGTTATAATTTGGATTAATTGGTTTGATGTGTTTAATTTGGTAATATGAAACTTAATAAAAAATATTTTTTAAAAAATAATAATCTACATATAATCTATATATTTTGTGTCAAGCCACTTCATTCCTTTTGTATTTTACTGCTTAATCATGTGGTTCTAAGTGAAGGGCACTTTAAAAAACAAAGATTTTTAAATATAATTTTTATTAACAGGCCAATCAAATCACATTTTCCAAATCACATTAGTTCCAAATTATACAGCCAGATTTTTAACTTTTGTTGGGGTGCCCATACTCCAAGATCCGGACGGGGGTCCAAACATCACTTATATTGCTGCTTTAATTAGACAGTTCTATCCAGTTCTATCCAGATAGTCTCTTTATTACTTTCTTCATCTTCTTCTTGTTATCATATATTCCTTTCTTTGCAATCTCTGATAATCTTCACAAGCGGATTGGAGACAAACATCCTCTGTGTGGGTTTTAAACTCTCCCAAAATCATATCACATAGGGACAGACGTCATTCCACATTTCTGTAAAGAATTTATCCTCGATCTGTCCTTTAATTTTCCCAGGCTTGCCAAGTATATCACAAAGGGGCTCTGCCAGGTTTAGATCACATTCCATTCATCATTCACATTCCAATGGTCCTGGTCCTCCTCCCCCCATCTTTCTTAGACAAGCCTGTCTTAGCAAGACGCCATTTAAAACTGCGTCATAAAATTTTTCCTCCGTTCTCTGATATTTACCAGTCCTCTCTTCGCTCAACAATTCACTCCACACAGCTCTTGAGATCCTGCTTGTGATTGGTAAAAGGCAACGATTCGTCTTTCTGGGGTGGAGGGTTATTAATACTCTCATAAGGCAAAGGGGAAAAAAGTTTTTTCCTCCACCCCCCTTCCTTTTTCGCTCCAAACATACCAGTCTCCTAATGGTGATTCATCACTTGATTTATTTGTCCCTCCCGTCGCTCCGGTCACAGAGATGCATTAATCAGCAGTCTTATCTCCCGTACTTTGCTTGATGTATGTGCTTCAGCTTCTTTCCAATTATATATTTCCAATTATATTTTCGAGCTGAAGCGAACCAGGGCGCGATTGGAGAAAGTGTCAGGAAGAGCTGACTTCACCGAGGGCATGTGCCAAGTGACCGGCACCCCCTTCTTTCAATTCCGAGGGTGCATTATGGACACCACTGGCAAGGCAGTCCCCCCATCAACTTGGGGGGTTGGGAAGACTGCATACTTCCCATAGCAGCCTCTTAATTACCTCGTGTGTGTCGGAGAGATGTTATTGTCGGCCATCTTCCAATGCGCCACCTGGTGGCCCCCCTAAAGACAAAGATTTAAGTGATGGATAGTCAAAAAGGAGTAGTCAAATGCAGGTGCTTCTCCCCACTCTGATGAAGAGGCTCAGATTTTAACTGAGGGACCACAGGTATAGCAAGTCTACAGGTAACAAAATAGATTAAATCTTTCCATGTGAAAAGAGCAATGATAAATTCCACTGGTTTTTAAAATTTACACCAGGAATTTGATTAAAAACATTAAAAACTTTCTGTGTAAAAATCCTGTTTCAAAAATTTGGTTGGGTATGGAAAAACTGGATGGGAGATGCTGTGACCACTAGGCCTGCCCTATTTTGCTTTCTTTGAATAAAGAGTTAACTTCCCCGGCACTGGTGGTGTTTTTGTTGCTGACCTACTCCTGCCTCCAGCTCCTGCCAGCTTATGAGGACTGAAGGTCTCCACCTTCCCACTGCCCTCTAAGGCCCCTCCCCCAGCAGCCTACAGCTCCATCACCTTGCATCTCATGACTTTGCCGTCTTCATTTCTCTCCATGTTCTGGTTGACCAGGGAGAAGGGAGCTGGTCTCAGCAGGAGGGGGAGACTCCCCGGATGAGGCAGCTGCATCATCTCTGTCTCCTGGCCCCTTCCTCTCCTGTCTGAACTGCTCTCTGCCCCAGCTTCTTCCTGCTCATGAAACCCTGTTACCTCTTCAGCTCCCAACACCTCCTCCCGCCAGTCAGCTCCCTCTTCTCCCACTGACCACTCATCCCACCACCAGTGCCCTGGCTCTGAACTTTCTCCCCCTGGGGGTTTCCCAGCTGCTGCCTCCCATCACAGCCAGTCCATGATACCTACCCACTTTGAACTTTTTATGTTTTTACAGCCAAGTGGTGTATAAATGTTATGAAATAAATAAATAGGGCTCGGGTCCATCTTGCAGTCTCTTGTCATATCTCTCCCGACATTGTGATGTTGTGCGCTCATGATGTCACATCTTGGGCGCAGGTTAGTGCCTCTGCTTCGGGCATAGAGATCAACTGACTTGTATTCACATGTTAACAAATGCCTACAAATATCTCGAAGCATCATGTTCTGGTTAAATGTCCAAATATGAGCTAGTGATAATGGTTTCACTTGGGAAATACAACAACTGTACAAGCTGCAGAGACCTAAATATAGTTTTTCATACAAGCAACTTATCTGTGAAGCCCCCTCATGCGGAGCGAGTGGGCTCTTCAAATCCAGGGTTTGCACTCACCTACCAATTCCTGTCAGTGAGGAATCCACGTCTGCCCACATCTGAAACAGTCCCCTCAAGTGTAGCATGTTGTTCCTCACCTTAAAAGGCAGCTACAAACATTTACTCTAATTTGAGAATGTAGCAATCTTCACATGTTACATTCAACAAATGTTCAATCTGCATACACAAGTAGCTAAGTTGTACACTCATACAATTATTCACAGTTATTCACTTTAAGAAGGCTGATTTCAAAAGCTGAAGGAACTACTGGGTGAGAGCCTATGGTCAGAAACACTCAATAAGATGGTCCAAATGCTGAAATTTCTACTGAAGTATTGCTCACTGGACTCTTAACATATATATTCCTCCCTGGGCCCACTAGAATTTCAGTGGTACCTCGGGCTACGAATGCTTCGAGTTACGTTTTGTCGGGTTACAAATAATTTTAACACAGATGTGAGTTTTCTGAGCTCTTGGAGGCCTCGCCGCTGCCAAGTCCCAACATCCGTGGGGCCTACGGACGCTCCACAATTGGCCTCCAGCCGTGTGAGCTCTCCGAGGCCTCCGCAAATGCCAGGAGCCAAGCCAATTGTGATTGTGGAAGAGGACCCTGAGCCCCATCCAAACAAGGACTATCATCAGCGCAGGTAAGAAAAAAATCACATTTTCATTTTGTACTGTTTTATTGATTTCAATTTTTTGGTCAATGGCCTCGTTAGATAGTAAAATTTATGCAAAATCGCTGTTTTTGGGGTCGCTTTTCATCGTCTGGTTCCTGTTGCGTGTGTTTCGTTTGTTAATTGAGTCCCTCGCTGCTAATCAGAGGCTTCCTGTTGAGTCTGCCAGCTGTTGAGTCCCGAGCACCCACGCAACACAGAAGTTATAGTTGGAAGTTTTTTTTTTGCTTTTTTTTTTTTTTGCATTTTGGTTGTCTGGCTTTTTCAATTTTTTGACGTGACTTGTTCTTCATTCGCTTTTGTGACTGTGGCTTGTGATTTCATATTTGTGACTTGTTTTTGTGACTGTGAAGAACCCAGTTCAGCTACTGGTTGATTGTGTGACAGCAGAAATGGATAAAAGCCTCCATTCAAACTGACTATCATCAATTAATTTTTTTCATCTACAATACTGTCTTATTTTATAGTACAGTACATTGATTATAGCCTTCATTTTATGGATCAATGGTCTCGTTAGACAGTAAAATTCGTGTTAAATTGCTGTTTTTGGGGGTGTTTTTCATCATCTGGAACGGATCAATCCACTTTCCATTACTTTCAATGGGAAAGTGCGCTTCAAGTTAAGAACGGACTTCCGGAACCAATTAAGTACTTAACCTGAGGTACCACTGTACCTGCTCTGATACCGTGGTAACCGCCTGTCAACACCTGAGCCTCCTGCCACCAGATGCAGAACAGCATGTGCTTTAAATGGCTGTAATCTGTCCGGGGACCTTATGGATCAAGAGCAACTATAAATAAAAGACATCATCATCAGCTAAACCACAATGTTGCACAAGCCAAGAGGAAGTATATCACACAAGTTTGTCTATGGAGCAAATAGTTCCAGAGATGACTGACAGAAGAAGGCCATGCTGCATAGTGCAGAAAATTGCACACACACACACACACACACACACACACACACCCCAAAATATTTGTGCAGTATTTCCCCAAGAACATCTCCCTATGTTGCTGGCACCAGTATATTTATTTATTTATTAATTAACTAAACTAGCTACACACACATGCCGAATAGCAGAATATTTGTAAAGGAGTTCAGCAGATTCTGAGACTATCTCAAAAATTTCTCACTAGTTCAATAATTACACAAGAGGATTTCTTAACAGTTGTTTGGGTTCCTTACAACTCTCCAGTTCTGTGATTCTATAATGTTGTTTTAAGCCTGAACATTGGACCTCCCAAGTATTCAAAAGAGGTTGAACCGGCTGAACGATGTTTTCATTTCGGGAAGAAAACACCCCTGCTCAAGTAAGTATAGAGGGATGCGGGTGGCGCTGTGGTCTAAACCACTGAGTCTCTTGGGCTTGCTGATTCGAAGTTGGCAGTTTGAATCCCCATAACAGGGTGAGCTCCTGTTCCTCTGTCCCAACTCCTGCCAACCTAGTGGCTCAAAAGCATGCCAGTGCAAGTAGATAAATAGGTACCACTGCGGAGGGAAGATAAACAGCATTTCTGTGCACTCTGGCACTTGTCATGGTCCTCTGTGCACCAGTAGCAGTTTAGTCCTGCTGGCCACATGACCCGGAAAACTGTCTGTGGACAAAGGCCAGCTCCCTCAGCCTGAAAGCGAGATGAGTGCCACAACCCCATAGTCGCCTTTGACTGGACTTAACCATCCAGGGGTCCTTTACCGTACCTTTAAAGGGAAAGCTAAATCATCAAGCGTAGACTGCAGTGAAGTCTGGGGGGAAGTGGAAGGTATTCCATTGAATGAAATGATTCATTAGAGACAGTTCCTAGTATATTTGCTGCTCATTTCAGCCAGCAGACATTGTCCTTGATCAAACGATGTTGTAACTTTCACAGTAATCGCTTCAGAAATTTGCTCACTGAAAAGAAATGGATTGGACTGAACAGATTCCAGCATTGTTCCTGCTCATCCTTACGATCATATTCATTTGGAAATGGGGCAGTTTCTGGAATAGGAGCTCCAAAAATCTCCCACCAGGTCCGACACCTTTACCACTTGTTGGGAATCTCCACATGATGGATCTGAAGAGACCTTACAGAACAATGTTAAAGGTAACGTTTTCTGTTCTTTCTGCAGCAAGGCAAAGATTCTGTGGATCTTTTTAGGCCAGGTAGATGTCAGTGTTCCATCTCATATATGCAGATATGCCAAAATGATAAAACTATGTCAAGTATCACTTATTCGTTTTTTTTTCTTCCTTTTTGTGTGTGATTGCTGTTATGGTTTAGGCTGATAGCTGATCTGTGCAGTGGAGGGACTGGGTCACTGGAGGAGGGGAATAGGAATGCCACAACCAGCCTTATGTGCAAAAATTAGCTGCAAAATTATTAAACCTTTCAATGTGAAGTCAGCACTTCTAAATACGCTCTTAGAATCCAGTCAAGTTTTCACAATCATCTAACGTGAAACAAAACAAAGCATTTATATTGCTGAATGTGGGCTTTTAAGTATGCCTATGTATGAAATTTTTTTATGTCTAAAATTATGTTCTTATTGAGAATGTTCGTCTCTTTGCAACAACCACAGTTCCCAGGATTCTTTGCACAGGTGAAAAAATTTGCATTAGATTAAATCTAGATTAAGTCTAGATTAAGTCGGCGTTTCCGTGTGCTGCGCTGGTGCTGGCTCGTCAGAGCAGCTTCGTCACACTGGCCACGTGACCCGGAAGTGTCTTCGGACAGCGCTGGCTCCCGGCCTCTTAAGCGAGATGAGCGCGCAACCTAGAGTCGGACACGACTGGCCCGTGCGGGCAGGGGTACCCTTACCTTTACCTTAGATAAAGTCTCCAGTGTAATTTTAGCTAAAGGCAATATCGTAAAGCACTGGCACTCCCCGGGGGAAACAGAGGAGCCTACAATTCTATGATTCTAACTTTCCATTTGTTAAGGAAGGAAAATTCACATCAGTTTTCAGCTTTAATTGCTTTCGGTTTCCGCCAAATAAAATAAAGGACCTGCAGAATTTGTCATCCTACTGCACTTTCTTCTTAATAATTTGAGGTTGCTCCTCGTCCTAAAGGCACCCACGTGATGGACAGTGCTTAGACATTTAAAGTTGACAAATTATACCATACAACCATGTAAATGAAATCAGTTTTTCATTTCAGATCTGTGACGTATGTATGTATGTATGTATGTATGTTTAGGGGGATTTATTTGATGTTTCTCTCTTTTGGTCATTGAACTCCAGTTGTCAAAAGAACATGGCCCCATCTTCCGCATCCAAATGGGATTCCAGAAAATGGTGGTGCTGACAGGGTATGAGACAGTCAAGGAGGCTCTGGTGAATCAGGCAGACGCATTTGCAGAGAGACCCACCATCCCAATTTTTGAGGACCATGCAAGGGGCTTTGGTGAGGTCTTTCCTTCTGTATAATAGCTTGTGCTGTTTGTGAAATTTAGTTATCATAGCAATATAGAATCTGTGCCAAAAGGTTCATAGAACTGATTATTAGTTTCAATTATAGCTTGGAGGACAGCCTGTCAATCGACCAGTGTAGCTGCAGCCATTGGATGGATAATGCCAAATGTCTTTGTCACTGCCAGCAAAAGAGTAGTTGTTGTGACGTGGGGTTTGTGATTTCAGCTCTCTTGACATAATATGCTGGAGTCAGTTCTCTAGTAACACTTCTTTATTTAAGCAACAAGACTAAGACTTGAGGAGGGGAGAGCTACATTTATAGGTACAGGGAACTACCTAGAAGGATACATTTTGGAGGGAACAATATCAGGCAATCACAGTCCTGCCTTTTGGAGGAAACCAATAAGACAGAGGATCCAAATACAGCAGCTTAAATGAACCAATAGTAGCTGTACCCTCTGGAACCAAAAGGCAGTTACTTTACCCTAATGCAAATGCAGACAATAATAATAATACAGATATAAAATCCTTTGACTCAATACACAACACCCCTCCCCCCCTAGTGAGCACAGCAGACGTAATCTCTCAGGTACTGTGGGGTCCTACAACTTCTACTTGATCTCCTGACAACAGGTGTTGCCGGTTCTGGATTGGGTGTTACCTGTGGTAGGGGGGCTGCTATAGGGGTTTCGTCAGGAACAGATGGAGTCCCAGACATCTCAGGGTCCCCTACCTGTACCTCGTCATCCTGAGGACTAGCAGACCCTGGTTCATTTGCTGAAGCCCCTGGTGACTGCACCTCTGGGCCATTTTCACTCTGGTCTTGCAGCTCTGCGTCGTTAGCCAGGGATGAATTATCTGACTCCTCCCTGCTGAGCGCCCGGCGCCTCAGCTGATCTATATGTCTCTTCCAAACTTGCCCATTTTCCAAGGTCACATAATAGGACACAGGTCCACTAGTCCGGGTGACCACACCAGCCACCCACGCGAACCTCGTGAATAGTTCCTCACCCAGACCAGATCTTCAGGGGCGAGATACCTTGTTGTGTCAGTCTCAGCCTGGGGGGTTGCTCTTGAATTACGGTTTGGCATTTTATCTGGGTGGACATAATCCAGCACCGTTACCAGTCTTCTACCCAAGAGCAGCTCAGCTGGCGACTTGCCCGTCGCAGTACACGGCGTCGCATGCTGCAAAAATAACATTCGCGCGATGCGAGCTGACCAGTTACCCTCCATTAAGCGCACAATGGATTCTTTGGCTGTTCTTACCATGCGCTCAGCCTGCCCATTGGAGGATGGGTGAAAGGGCGCGGATGTGACCCCTCTTATGAAGTTATCAGCCAAGAATGCCCTGAATTCTTGGGATACAAAAGCTGCCCCATTATCTGATACAATGGTCTCAGGTAACCCGTGGGTTGCAAACAGCTGCCTCAACACCTTGATTACGGCAGCTGATGCCATGCTAGGGTCCATCGCCACTTCTAACCATTTGGAATATGCATCGACGATAACCAAAAAGACCTTTCCCTGGAATGGCCCAGCAAATCTAAGTGCAGCCGGCTCCAGGGAGATCTGGACTGCTCCCACCAGTGAACTGGTGCACTTCTGGCCGCACCTCTTGGCATGCCTTGCATGTTCGTACCCATTGTTCTATGTTCTGGTCCATTCCAGGCCACCACACATAACATCGGGCTAGCGACTTCATCCTGACCATTCCCTGGTGTCCCATGTGAAGCGTCTCAAGAACCCTGTTTCTCAGTGGTGCTGGGATGATCACCCTATCTCCCCACAGGAGACAACCCTTATGCATGGACAACTCGTGCTGCCTTGTCGCATAAGGCCTGAATTTGTCTTCATGCGGACCACCTGGCCACCCCCTCCCCACCCAAGTGAGGACACGGGAGAGAACAGCATCTTTCCTCCTTTTCTCAGCTATATCAGTAGCCGTTACAGGAGCCCCCGGAAGTGTTTCCAGCATCATTATGTGCTCCGCTGGAGCAGGATCCTCATTGCTCCCGCCAGGAAGTGGCAATCGACTCAGCGCATCAGCGTGGCACAACCGTTTCCCCGGCACATGGGTCAAGGTGTACTGGAACCCGTTCAGGAATATAGACCAACGCAACATTCTGGGGGAGAGAATTTGTGGCGTTTGCTTGTTCGGGTTGAACAACCCTAACAGTGGTTTGTGGTCCATTTCAATGGAGAAATGGCGACCGTACACATAATCATGGAACTTTTTGATTCCTGCCACAATTGCAAGCGCCTCTTTGTCAATTTGAGCATAGTTGCGCTCCGTGGGCGACAACGTACGGGAATAGAAAGAGATGGGCTTTTCCGACCCATCCGGTTCCCTATGACTCAGCACCGCCCCCAGGCCGTATTGAGAGGCATCACATGCCAGGACCAGCGGCTTCGACTCATCATAATGAGCAAGGACGCTCCTGCTACTCAGCATTCCTCGCAAGGAGTCAAAAGCCTTCTGCTGCCCCTGCCCCCATCGCCACACATTCTTTTTCTGCAGCAGTCTATGTAACGGTTCAGCTACTGAAGCTTTCTGGGGTAAGAATGAATGATAAAAGTTAATAAGTCCCAGGAATGACTGCAACTCCGTCTTGTTCTGTGGTCGTGGTGCCTCGATGATGGCCTTAATCTTAGCATCTGTGGGGTGGACGCCTGATGCATCAATTTTAAACCCCAAGAAATCCACAGTTGGCACCCCAAAACTGCATTTTTCCTTTTTCAGTTGCAACCCCACCTCCTTGAACTTGAGCAACACTGCACGGACACGCGCAACCAGTTCCTGTGGGTCTTTTCCAGCAATCAAAACGTCATCAAAAAATGGCAAGACCCCCGGCAGACCTCTTAACAGGCGTTCCATGAGCCCTTGAAAAATCCCTGGGGCCACACAAACTCCAAATTGTAATCTGTTAACTCTGAACACCCCTTTATGTGTGACAATAGTCTGTGCTTCTGCTGATTGTGGGGTTACTGGCAGCTGTTGGTAAGCTTGTGCCAGGTCAATTTTGGCGAACACCTTGCCCCCAGCCAGTTTAGCCAACAGATGTGATACGACTGGAATGGGGTATGAGTTTCCCCTGAGTGCCTTATTGATAGTACATTTGTAATCTGCACAGATCCTGACTTCCCCGTTTGCTTTAAGGGGCGTGACGATTGGAGTCTCCCACTTAGCTGAGTCCACGGGTGAGAGAACTCCCTGCTTGACCAATTTATCCAGCTCTGCTTCGATCTTGGGTTGCAGTGCAAATGGCACTCGCCTTGGTTTGAGTCGGATTGGGGCCACCCCAGGGTCCAATTCGAAGTCAACTGGGGGCCCTTTATAACAACCCAGTTTTCCATTAAAGAGACCAGCAAATTCTTTGCATAATGCCTCGCTCATCTCAGGGCAGGTTTGGATTGAATTAAGCCCTGATATACTCAGTCCCAGGGCGGGGAACCAGTCAGTGCCCAGGAGACTGGGGCGGCTGCCCTTCGCAATCACCAGTTTGAGTACCGCCTGTTTGTCCCGGAACTGTACTCTCACGGCACACATTCCCATGACCTGGATGCGGCCCGCTGAGTATGACTGCAAAGTTTCCGGGAAGGGCTCCAGAGGGGGCAACTTACCCCTGGGGAAGAATGTCCTCGCGGTCTGGTCCGACACGATAGTGAATCCAGATCCGGAGTCCACCTCCATGTCGCACAGCTGACCCTCAATCTTCACCTTGACATGTGCCTTGCCTTGCGCTGGAAACTGCACGACCCTCCCGTTGATCTCCGTTACGTAGTGGCAGTCCTTTAGAACATGGTTTGCTGTGGGCGGTCTGCGATGCTCCAGTCTAGGTGCTCCTGTCGCTCCCAACGCCGCCAATCTACAGACCCTGGCGATGTGACCTGTCTTCCCGCACGTCCGGCACATAGCATCCCGGAAACGACAACTCTTCCGCTCATGGTTTCCGCCACAACCAGGGCACCTGCCTCGGTGATCTTTGTGCACTGTGCAGGCCTGACGCACTGACTCTACCCCACGGACTGGGCTCTGGCTCGGAGTAGCCTCTAGCTCGTCCATGGCATGCGCAACTTCTATCTGTGGCTTAGGGGCCTTGCGACTGGCATCAAGCTCCTCTCTTTCATAATTCTCCGTGGCGGTGGCCTCCTTCAAGGCTGAAGCAAGGGTAACCTCTTCTTTAGCCACGATGCGTCTTCTGGCTTTCTTGCTGCTCAGACCACCGATAAACCGATCCAGGAGAGTCTCTTCCAGATCTTGGAAGTCGCAGTGCTGAGCGAGCTTCCGCAGTTCAGCTAGAAATGCAGATACAGACTCCCCAGCACGCTGCTGCCTCTTATGAAACTCCATCCGCCGGGCCATCTTGGTCTCAGTAGGCGCCAAATGGCTTGTTAGGCAGGCAAGAATATCTTTGAGAGATGTCTCACTTAGCTTCGCTGGAGCAAGCAATGCCTTGGCCAGCTTGAAGGTCTCAGGCCCACAGTAGCTCAGGAATGTGGCCCTTCTTTTGCTGGCATCGGTGATCCCTTGAGCCACTGCGAAGAACTCGAAGCGTTCGACGTAGTCTTCCCACGTGTGGGGCTCTGATGGCTGGAAGGGCTCCAATACCCTTGGACTCTCCATGGTCCTGTGGGCAGGGTCGTCTTCTCAGCTGGCCAGTGAGTCTTGTTCTTAGCTACAATCCGGACTCTGAGGCAGGGCTGCGTTTAACCGCTCCTCAGCATTCCGGATCCCACCTTCGTCGCCAGTTGTTGTGACGTGGGGTTTGTGATTTCAGCTCTCTTGACATAATATGCTGGAGACAGTTCTCTAGTAACACTTCTTTATTACAGCAAACAAGACTAAGACCTGAGGAGGGGAGAGCTACATATATAGGGACAGAGAACTAGCTATAAAGGATACATTTTGGAGGGAACAATATCAGGCAATCACAGTCCTGCCTTTTGGAGGAAACCAATAAGACAGAGGATCCAAATACAGCAGCTTAAATGAACCAATAGTAGCTGTACCCTCTGGAACCAAAAGGCAGTTACTTTACCCTAATGCACATACAGACAATAATACTACAGATATAAAATCCTTTGACTCAATACACAACAGTATTCAGCTCACAGTAGCGAGGAATGAAAGTTC